ATGTACCATTGTTTCTGTGAAAAGAATATCCTGTTAGATAAGTAAAGAACATCTGCAAACTCCCCTAACTGTCCCCTAACCACAAAAATTCCACTTCTGTAGTTCTGCTTGCTAGGCTCCCCTGCAGCCCCTATAAAACCTTCCAACCCCCTGAGCTCAGGGCCTCTCTAAGCTTGTTTGCTTGGAGGGTGCCATCTGGCCAGACTAATAAACGTCTGTTTTTTACTATCTCAATCTGTCCGGTGTGTTTCCTTCCAGGTGATCCTCACTGCAGTCAGCTCCTCAGAGCGTTTGGTAAGGTCCTCAGTCTTACAATTTCGTATCTGTCTCCTTTGCCACCTTAAATTTTGGGGGTGATTCTTGCTCATTTCTGCATGTAGACATATTAATCACTTAAGGAGTGTTCCTCTAAAGCTAGCAATCTTCTCCCTTCAAGGGAGAAGGCACTGTGATAACAGTAACTAATGTAACATAAGTAATGAACAGATTGTCAACTGTCAGCTTTTATAATGTCCTGCTCCAGATTCTTAGAATTTCACCTAGAAATCTGAAGTCATTGCCCTAAGCCTGCAAGACCTAACTTCATCTTGCCATTCCAATTCCTTTTCTCTGAGTTGTTCTCTCCTGTAGTCACCTTAAATTCCATGAAAAACAGATCTGATCAGGCCCCACCAGGCCAGGCCAGGCCGCAGCAATTCTCTTATCTTTGCCAACAAGTTTCCCTATAGTCCTGAGAAAATGATCAACTAGACCACAGTTTGGCCAGGATTGATTAACTATGCATTCTTCTTGCTTCTCATCCCCAACCCCCACTCTATTCCTTCCTATTTAAACCTGAAGCTTTTATCAGCATCCCTGAATAGATTCCTTTCCAAATTTCCACAATTAGTTTTTCATTCACTTTGGGGGCAGGTGGCCAGACCTGGTCTTCTGTGGTTCCCTGAAATCAGACTTCCCTCTGGCCCAAGATTCTAGTCAAAATTTTTAAATTGTTATAAAGGTATAAAGATAACCAAGATAATGTCACGCTGGTTTAAACAAAGACAAAAAAGATCACTGGAATGGGGGTTGGAGGTGCAGCTTTGTGGTAGTGTGTGCTGAGAGTGCATGAGGCCCTGGGTTCCAGCCCCAGCACACACACAAAAAAGAAAAACAATCAGCAGAACAGAAGAGAGAAAAAAATAAATAGGGTCTTGTATATATGATTAATTTTCAATGAAGGTGTCAAGGAAATTCAATGAGGAAATGGTAGTCTTTTCAATAAATTGGGATATATTAATTGAATGCTCACATGCAAAAGAAGGAGGAGGAGGAGGAGAATGACCTTGCCAGTGCCAGGGCACACCTGTAATCTCAGCTGCTGAGGAGGCCAAAGAAGGAGAAGGACAGGTGTGAGCCCAGCCTGGCAATTTAGAAACCCACATCTCCAAAAATAGAACTGGGGCCAGGCTCAGTGGTACACACCTATAATCACAGAATTCCGTGAGACTGAGGCAGGATGATCACAAGTTGGACCCCAGCCTGGGCAATTTAGCAAGACCCTGTCTCAAAAGAAAGGAATAAAAAGGGGACTGGGGATATAGCTCAGACACACACACACACACACACACACACACACACACACACACACACAAAGGACCAAGGATATAGCTCACTGCAAAGGCTCTGGGTTCAATCCTCAGTATTAAAAAAAATCTTAAGTCTTTGTACTATATACAACAGTTAATTTAAAAGAAACCACAAATCTAAAGGTAGGATCTAAAACTCTAAAATGTATAGAAAAAGGCATATAGAAAACAACTTTTCTATGGAAGACTGTTTTATGTAATATACTGTTTAGCTGCATACCTGTCCTCTAACCCCTAGAAATCATCAGTGCCTCCCCTTGAGTTGTGACAATTAAAATATCTCTAAGTGGTGATTTGTAGCTATAATCCCAGCACTTTGAGAGGCTGCCTTCTGCCTTCCAAGAACTGTTTTTCCTCTGTGATATCCCTCTGCCATGCCACCCTGCTTTGGAGCCAGCCATGTTTGGACTGAAACCTCTACAAACTGAACCAAATAACCTTTCCTCCTTTAACTTAGGGTGTTGGGTATTTTGTCTCAGCAACAAAAAAAGTAACTAAGACCCACAATGAGAAACTATTATATATCATATAATAAAATATGATAAACGGTATATTTTTAGAATACATATCGTTATGGCTTATGTCTAGATACTCCCCCCCCCAAAGCCTCATGAGGTCAAAGGGGGGGCTTTTTCAGAGGTAGCTGAATCTAGAATGTGTGATTGAGTCACAATCCAATGCTAGGATTGAAGGTGGGTGACTACTAAATCAGTCCATGATTGGTTTGGCACTGCCCTAATCCCAGTAACATAGATAGAATATAAAAGAGTCAGAAAAAAGCTGTTAAGATCCCTTGCTTGCTTTGCTGTCTTCAGCCAACCATAATCTGTTTCTCCTCTGTGATGACTATCTGCTATCCACCCCGCCTTGGGGCCAGCTGATTATGGACTGAAACTGTGAGCTAAATAAACCTTTCCTCCCTTAACTTGTGTTGGGTATTTTGGCTCAGCAACAAGAAAAGTAACTAAGACACATATATAAGTAATGCTTATAATTTAATATGAAAAGAATTGAATCTCACTTTATAAAAATGAGCAAAAAATTTGAGCAGACACTTCATCAAAGGAAGGATACAAATGTCAAATAAGCACAATAAAGTGAAGGACTCTAAGGCTTGGATACACCTGAACATAAATGCCTTTAATAACAAAGTTCTGATGTTTTCCATGAAAAGCCTCCAGGCCTTTCACAGATGAGTCTTATAGTTCAGAACCAACTTTTCTTTCTTTTCATATTTTATTTCAACTTGTTCTTTTAAATACAGTTAAAAGGACTAAATTTTCAGGATTTTAAATTTGTGCTTTATGCATATGTACCAAATCCCCTCAAGAAATGTAATCATTGTGTGTTTGTGTGTGTGTGTTGGGGGGTGTTGTGTGTTACTGGAGAGCAAACCCAGGACCTTGCACATGTTAGCTAAATATTCTATCACTGAGCTACATCCTCAGCCTGTTTCTTTTTCTTTTTTTGGTACCAGGGATCGAACTTGGGTCCTTATGCTTGCACAGCAGGCGGCAAAACCACTGAGCTAAATCCCCAGCCCCCTCAGCCTTTTAAATATTTTGTTCATTTTTATTTTGTTTCAAGACAGAATCTTTTAAATTCCCCAGGTTGGCCTTGAGCTTGTAATCCTCCTGACTCAGCTTCCCAAGTTGCTCAATTTACAGGTGTGCACCACCATGCTCAGCTTTTTGCTTTGCATTTTGCAGTGGCAGAGATTGAACCTGTGGCCTCTTGCCACTGAGCTACAGCCCTAGTTCCCGCCTTGCTCTTTTAAAGAAACTCTTGCAAAAATAACCAGGGACCCAGTAGAACTCTATCAACTCCTTTTGAAGGCAGTGCCCTTGATGATTTAATTATTTCCCACTAGGCTCCACCTTTTAAAGCGTTCACTGCCTCTCCATACCAGCACATTGAGGTCCTAGCTCCCCACACATGAATGCTTTGGAGGACATACTGAGACCCCATCCAAATCATAGCAGACTTGGACTAGAACTTATACCATAGGTTCTCCTGATTCTCAGGTCTTCAGATTCAAATTGGAACTATGTCACTGAATCTTTTTCAATCTCAAGCTTCCAAATGGTAAATTGTGGGAATTCTCAGGCTCATGATGAGACAGTCCAAGTCTCATGATGTAATTGGATCTAGCTCTCGGGTCTTTGTTTTGGGGCAATGAAGATTCTAGCCGACAAAATACCAAACAGCAAGCGGTGGAGGAATGGCCAAATGTGTGTTTATTAGAAGGAATAAAAGAATACCTTTCTGCTGATCAGAGAGGGGTGGTCCATAAGGCAGACACCATGGAAGTTTAGACTTGGGGCTTTTATATAGCTTTTGAGACCAGTGTATGTGACAGAAAACAGGGATGTTCCTGGTTGCAAGTAGGCCTTTGATGTCTGGAGTGCAGTTTTATTTGCATCTTACTTCCTCCAAGGTCTCTCCCCTTTGGTTAAGGACCTATTTTCTGTCTCCTGTATTTCATTAGGCCCTAATAGTCCATTGTGGTATGCTAATTCACTTAGGCCCCAACTCTTAGTTTACCTTAACTATTCAGGACCTGTGACCTATCTGTCTAAATTCCACTATCTATCGGCTTCAGTGATAAACCTCTCTATATAAAGAATCTTTCTCAAAAATATATCCTATTGGTGCTTTTTCTCTGGAGAACTCTATTACAAATGACTAGATTTAAAAAGACGGACAAAACCAAGTGGTGGGTAAGGTATGAATCAAATAAACTCTCATTTATTGCTGATTAAATATAAAATGGTACCAGCATTTTGGAAAATCCTTTTGTAAAAAAAATTCTTGCTGCTTTATTATTTGATAAATTGCTAATAAGCTCCCATTAGAAGTTCTTTAGTCATTATACCAAGTTGTCTTGGTCTTCTGATCATACACACACACACACACACACACACACACGCACGCACGCATATATATGCATCTTTTTTCAAGTAAAGAAATGTTTAACAGATGTAAACTATTTATTGATTATTTGCCACCAAATATTGTTAAATATATTATCTTGCAGCATATCACTTTCAAGTTAAAATGTCAGAAACAAACAACAATATTTACAATTCTTTTAAGGAATGTTATATAATGACACATTAAGGCGTAAATTCTTTAGGCTTATAATTCTTAAAAGAATGATAATACCAAAGTGATGCAAAATCTTCAGTGTGAGATTATGATTAAGCTACATTTTACAAAAATATGGTGTAAGATGGCAATAATCCCATTCAACATCCTGGATTTGATCCCTTCAGGAGGGACTGATAATTTATACAACCAAACTTTAACATTTACAGTTAAAGGCAGTTTAATACTGCCACTGAGAAGTACATCTCTTAATATATACAAATTTCAGGCCACAGTTTTGAAGGTCTGAAGTATCAAATTGTTTTGATGAATTAGTCGGTTGGCACTTACGAACACATTTATTGCCTTGCCATCTTTAAAATACATTTTCAGAGTATCACTGAAACTTTTGGAATATTTTACAAATTCTTTCTTTTGGTGTTCAAGTGCCCTGCGGTTCTGGTATTGGTATTTCTTGAAGACATTATTCACTGTATCAAGAAGTTCTTTTATTGCACTAGCTATATCCTTGATTGTCTGCAGAAACCTCACTCTGTCATTGATCTCATCTGGGATCTTACTGAGAATTTGTTTAAGTGCTCTTGCCTTTTCATTTAGGTCCTGGAATTCTGGCTCTGGTCGTTCAATCATATACTCTTCTACATCATCAGCTGCCATATGAAGAAGAGACTCTATGAAGTTAACTTCTACACTTTTTTTCTCTAAAATTTTCATAATGTTGTCTTGTGTGAGACCTGGATTTTCTTTTTCAGCCTTAATGAAAGCGGCTCTCAGTGTCTGAGCTGCAGACAGATTTACTCCATCTAACTTATTAAACACAGGATACATGACTGCATAGAGAAGCATAGAAATCATGGAAGTGGTCTCAGCTTCATGCTTCATCTCTTCCATTGTCATCCTCATTCAAAAGCCAACTACAGTAGAAAAAGCAGTGCTAAAATGCAGAGGAATCTTCATTCACGGCAATATTTCTTCTTTTTTTGTATGATAGAAGAACGGTCACAAAATACACACTTAACGACAACTGAGGCACTGACTTCACTTCCCACCTTTGGAGCCCTATTCAACTCCCAGATCAATTCACTCCTGCAACGCCGGAAGGATCCCTTGGAAAATCCTTTGACATTTTTTCATAAAGTTATATATAAATCTCAAAAATACTATATTAAATGAAAGAAGTCGCATACGGAAGATTACATACTGAATGCTTTCATGGATATGATATAAAAGAAATGGCAAAACTATGGTTCCCAAGAACCAAGGGATTAGAAGAGATGGTTGATTGCCAAGGAACAGTAGAGAACGTTTTAGTGTAATGGAAGTGTTTTCTATTGTCTTTGTTGTTGTTGTTTTGTTTTTTTTTTTATTCATGGCACCAGGAATTGAACCCAAGGCCTTCTCACTGAGCTACATCCCAGTCCTTTTTATTTTTTATTTTGAAATAGGGTTTCACTAAATTGCCCAGGCTGGCCCTGAATTTGAGATTCTCCTGTTTCAACCTCCTGAGCTGCTAGGATTAAAGGAGTACACCACCATGCTTGGCCTAAAATTATTCTTTATCACAATTGCAGTGGTAGTCACACCCTTTTTTCATTTGCATTTAAAACTCAGTGAATTGGACAGATAAAGCTTGTAAATTATTATACTTCAATAAGTTTTGTTTTTCCTTTTGCAGTATTGGGGATGGAACATAACTGATTTTTTTTTTTTTTTTTTGTACCAGGGATTGAACTTAGGACTGTAAGACTGAGGGCCTTACCAAACGCTCCGAGGAGCTGACTATAGTGAAGCACACCCAGGGATCCCAGCGGTGCCTCCAGAATGCAAGGCCAAGGGCCTTACCAAATGCTCCAAGGAGCTGAAGTGGAGCACACCCGAGGATCCCAGCGGTGCCTTCAGAATGTAAGACCAAGGCCTTACCAAACGCTCCAAGGAGCTGGCTACAGCGAGGACCACCCGGGAAGGAACACACAGGCCATGTTGGAAAACAGACCTTTATTAGTCTGGCCAGACGGCACTCCCGAAACAAAATAGCTCAGAGAGGCCCCTGGCTCAGAGTCCGAGGTTGTTTTATAGGGGGTTAAGGGCGGGGTTTAACATGTGGATTCACAGAAAAAAAAAGAACAAAGGTTAGTGGCTCATTGTCACATGCTGATGTTCAGCAGACATCCTGACTGACAGTTAGGACCACCCTGTTTACAGATTGTCCTATAGATACTGGGCCCCCGGACATTTGGATTTAGGGCAAACAGATGGCTGAATAACCTCGCCCTATTACTGATTGTCCATTGTCCCGAGGCAAACACACTCCAACCATCAAATTTACAACAGAATCTAGGGGAGTAATTAACTTTTGAATCACACAGTCCCACAGGACCTTGAGCTTGCAAGGCAGGTGGGGGCAACACTGAGCCAAATCCCCAGCCCCAAAAACTGATTTTTAAAAATAAAATATTTAGGAATAAGTAGAATAAAAAATCATCCAATTATATTAAGAGTATAAAGCATTGGTGCTGGGCTGGGGATGTAGCTCAGTGGCGCTCCAACTGCCTGGCAAGCGAAAGGTCCTAAGTTCAATTCCTGGTACTGGAAAAAATAAAAATAAAATAAAAAACATTGCCCCAAGAAGTGAAACAAAATCTAAATAAATGGAGACCTATACCATGCACACAGACACTCAACATTGTTAAGATAGCAGTTCTTTCCAAATTGAACTGTGGATGCAGTAAAATCCCAAACATAATCCTACTAGGCTTTTTCTAAGTAACAATACTAATTCTAAAATTATTTTATTGCTTATTTATTTAATAGTAGCAGGGATTGAACACAGGAAGGGCTGAGGTACATCCCTGTGGTGACAAAATGGTTAGAACTCTCAGTGACAAAATTTCCTGGCTGACACAATCTTGGCCAACAAGCATGCACTGGGTGGTTATGATGTCACCAGAAAGCCAGGTCTTAACATGGCCAGGTCTTAACACCTCAAGGAACTTGCAACACTCAATTCTTTGTCTTTGATGAAAGATCTCAGATAAGACACATAGGCTGTCATATAGAGTATAGGTAGAACTTACTGCAAAATGGTAGGTTTTCAGGGAGAAAGAGAATACACCTGCAAGTATGAAGGTGGACAAGCACCATAGAGGCCTCAGGTTACATTTATATGATTAACTGGCTCCTTCAGGGAATATCTTTTCTTTTCTCCAAGGTCATTGTTCTTGTATAAATAAAATGGGCTGTGTTGACCTACTTGTTAAAGAAGTAGGCCCCCAAATGCTCCTTAGATGTATGTTACCCTTTAGTTTGTTTTGAGACCTTGAGGTTTTTCTAACTTTTCACCCATGGTCTGAATTTCATATAGGCTCTAGACCTTATCAGCACACTTAGAGGATGTTACATTCTTTTTTTTTTTTTTTTTTTGGTACAAGGATCAAACTCAGGACTTTGAGCTTTTAAAGCAGGCAGCAGCACCACTGAGTTAAGTCCCCAGCCCTCACATTCTTTTGAGTTAAAGTTTGAGACCAAGTTTGTGTAGGTTTTATCTATAGCTAATGTTAAAAAGAAAAAGAAAAAAAAATCATGTCTTCTTTGCTTTTAAGTGGCCCCCAATCATCTCTGTACTCCACTAGTGAAGACTAGAAACATCACAAGATAAAAACATATGTAAGACCTATTCATTCCTCCCCAAAAGCCTTGACTCATACTTTCTCAAAGAGTTAATGTGTATAGACATTGTTATGGCTTGTGTTAGATGTGCCCCCAAAAGCCTCATGCCGTCATAAGTGGGGCTTTTCAGAAGTGGCTGGATCTAGAGTGTGTGACACTGAGATTGATTCATGGTGCAATGCTAGGATCAAGGGCACTAGGATTAGGGATGTGAGTGCTGCCCTCCCTAAGTGGTGTGGATAAGCTAAAAGGGGCAGAAAGACACTGTTAATGTCCCTTGTTTGCTATCTTTTGCTATCTTCTGCTTGGCATGAACTGCTTCTCCTCTGCGACATCCTTCTGCCAAGCCACCCTGCCTTGGAGCGAGCTGATTATGGACTGAAACCTCTATAAACTATGAGCTAAATAAACCTTTCCTCCTTTAACTTGGACGTCAGGTATTTTCCCTTAGCAATGAGACAAAAGTAACTAAGAGAATTTGGTACCAGAGAAGTAAGGTCGTTCTGTCTATACCTGACCATGTGGTTCAGGAGCCTGTGAGACTGGCTTGTTGGGAGCATTTGGAAAGGTTCAGAGATGGTGGATGATCTTATCTAAAACTAAACTTCCTTGAGACCAAAGTAAATGCCCTTGTCAATTTGTAACTTTAATGTACAACTTTTAGATACACTACAGGTGTTCCTAAAAGATCAGCAGGAATCAGGCTACCCAGAAAAAAAAAAATCACTTCTGAGACATCCAGATTTGCTGCCCAGACTCTTTCCCCATGTCTCCAAAGCCTTATAAAACCATAATATCTCATACAGACTGCATGATTCCTCTCTTGGAATGTTTTTTTTTCTTGTTTTTAATTTTTATTAGCATATGTACAGAAGATGTTTACATTCCTTGTGTGGAAGTTGGTACATAACTTTTTTTTTAAAGTTTTTTGAAACAGGGTCTCATTCTGTAGTTTAGGTTGGCCTTGAACTCACTATGTAGTCCAGGCTGGCCTCCCCAGTGCTGGAATTACAGGCGTGTGCCACCACATCCATGGACATATTTTAATTCCTTTTTTCAGCCCCTTTTCCTCCTCCCTCCGCCCTCCATCTGTTTGATCCCCTTCTCATTTGAGAAAGATCTCCCTACTTATTTTTTTACTTTGTTATTTGTAATTAAGAGAAACCATGCAATATTTAAGCTTGTGTCCGATTCACTTCAATAGTGTGCTCTGATTTGGATAAACTCTTGTCTGTTCTTATTCTGATCTTGGTAAATTCTTTTACCTCTCATGCCAATGCCCCTCCACATGGCCATTTTAACAGGGCAATTTCTAGCCCTTTTATTTATTTTTAATTTTTAGACAAGAGTCTCACTAAATTGTGCAGGTCGGTCTTGAACTTGCCCTTCTCCTTCCTCAGCCTCCCCAGTAGCTAGGATTATAGATATGTACCCCTCCTGGTTTGTAATTATATCAGAAAATGTAAAATGCAAAGGACCTAGAATAGAAAAAGAAATCTTGAAAAAGGAAAAGTTAGAGGACTTACAATACCTGAATTCAATGTTTACTATTAACCACAGTAATTAAAAGGGGGATACTAGCCCTAGGACAGACAAATTAATGGAACCGAATAGAGTTCAAAAATAGACTCACATCTATCAGCTAAAGTGGTATTTTTGTTTTGGTGCTGAGGTCAGAATCCAGGGTCTCGTGTACAAGGAGCAAGGCTCTATTACAGAAGTTACTCTCAGCCCCCAGTACAAGACATTGGTCACTTGTCATGTGCATGAAGTACGCTGGCTTGGCACTGGAGGAAACGACAGTGAACACAGTAGACTTATCAGAGGGTTATAAAGAAGTAAAACACGATAAAACAACGGGTGCTACGCAGAAAAACACGGGAGGATCCACAATATAGGTAGGTTTTCAGGATCCTTTACTTGGGGTGGTTGAGAAATTCAAAGGTCTCTCTGTGAAGGCATGTGCTAAGAAATCAGAATCACCCGAGAACCACGCTTGAAGAGAATTCGAATTGGGAGCCAGGATAGTGGCGCAGACTAATCCTGTAATCCCAGCCACTCCGGAGGCTGAGCAAAATCACAAGTTTGAGGCCCGCAATTTGGCGAGACCCTGTCTCAAACTGATGGTTTCAATCTCCCAAGTACCACAAAGAATTGTTTTGCAGAATGAACACCGAACGGCGTTCAGCCTGGAAAGCAAAGGTGCCTGAGGGACGACAGAGTAGCGCCGGGAGTTCCGGACAGGGACCACAGCAGCCGCACCACAGAGCTCTACGTGCCGCGCTGGGGGGCCTGGACCCGCCCAGCCGCGGTCCCGCCGCTGCGCCGGAAGTGCGCTCCCTGGCCCGACGCCCCGCCGGAAATGCTCTCTCGCCCCGCCGGAAGTGCTCTCGTGACCTGCGCGCCGCGCAGCGGGAAGATGGCGTTGGAAGCCGGTGATATGGAAGATGGGCAGCTTTCTGACTCAGATTCCGACATGACGGTCGCACCCAGCGATAGGCCGCCGCAAGTGCAGGTGAGCATGAAGAGCGGGCGGGTGACAGGGGCGGGCGGGAGCTCCCGCGTCGGGGCAGGCCAGCCCCAGAGAGATGGCAGCTGGCAGCGGAGCGGAGCCTGCGAGCCTCGGGGCCGCCTGGAGGCGGGCGTGCAGCGTGGTCGGCGCCTCTTCTCGTGCGCTGCTGTTCCTCCTCAACATACTGACTTCCCCGCTCCAGCGGCCTGGGGTTGTTTGGAAGGACAAACGTTACCAAAAATGTAGAACCTGCATCGCTTCTCGCCCTTTTGACTAAGATCAAGGGCAAAAATGTAGAACCTGGAGACAAAGGGCTGAAACTGCCTGTGGTGCTCTTTTTCTTCTAAAGCAGAGAGCGAGACAGGCTTAGAAAACTCTTTACTCGCTCAGCGGCCTGGGCTTTTGTATTTTCGCCAAACTTAGCTTTGTAGTACGGTACCGTGGCGTTAGGTTTTGTCTTAACTTCCTGGTTTTCTAAATGGGAATATGGTGTGATCCTGTGAAAAGCAGCAGCCACTTTGGAGAGGGCTTTTGGTGCCAGGCTGCCGCTATTCCAGTCCTGGCGCGGCCACGCTCTGACCTGCCTGCCTGTTTTGGTGGCCCGATCTGCAGAATTGGCACGGTGGTTGTAAGAATTGGACGGAGCAAATTGCACACTATTACCTGTCAAATGCGAGCTGCCTTTACTATTTCAAGACAGAGAGACTATCCTCTGACTTAAATCAGTCCCCTCCCCCATTTTTAGCATATAACAGTTTAACACAAAGTACGAAAAACAAGTCAAGAGCAAAGTTATAGTTTGGAAGAATAAGTTCAGGTATTCTGTTGCACAATATAATGACTGTAGTTAATAGTGAGATTCGAGGTAGTTAGAAGTTTTTTTGTTTTCGATTTGGCACTGGGAATCCAACCCAGGGACACCGAACCCAGGGGCACTATACCACTAAGCTCCATCCCCAGTCCTTTTAGTTTTGAGATAGGGTGTGGCTGAGTTGCTCCAGAGGGACTCAGAATTGGGATCTCCTGCCTCAGCCTCCTTCCGCTGGGATTGCAGGCATGCATTACTTCGTTGGGCCATGTGAGGATTTTTAAACATTTTGCCACAGGGCCGGGGATTTAGCTCATGGTTCTGCCTCCTGCCTGGCAAGCTCAAGGTCCCGAATTGATCCCCGGTACCAAAAAAACCCCAGAAACAACAAAACATTTTGCCACAAAGAAATAGTTACGGTGATGGATGAGGGAATCAGACCATCACCTTGAGACCAAGGTGGCATTCAAAAACATCCCTTCTTCGTTCTCATACTCCTACTAAAGTTTCAATTTCCCCAGTCACAAGCTGCTTGCCTGTTGGTCAACTCTCACAAGCTGCCTGCTTGAAGGACAACCATATCAGCTCAGTTCCAACTTCTGTAAAACCCCTGAGTCGGTAAGAGGCAGAGCCATTTGGTCCTCATACCAGCGGTTCCTCTCAGGTTTAAATCTCTATAAAACTTATTCTCGACTGTGGAGCTGGATTCTTTCCATTTTTCCTAACAGTGGATATGCTAATTACTTTAATTTCATCGTCACCCAATGTATCCCTGTATCAAAAGCTTGCATTATATCCTGTGAATCTGTACAGTTATTATGTGGTAATTTTTTTAAAAACCAAAGCTGACTTCTCTTGGATATAAGTGTCTTTTGGAAATTAATTCTGGAATATTTTGTAGTATTTCAATCTCTTTCAGGTTGTTTATATAAATTGACTCTTAACTTAGTTAAAGTAGTGAAATTAGCAGTTTTAAAAGTAGTAAGTAGGAGCAAGGAGCAGTAAATCAGAGGCTGGGGTATGGTGATGCCTGCCTCTAATCCTAGTGCCCTGGAAGGCTGATGGAGGAAGATTGCAAGTTTGAGGCCAGCCCGAGGAATTCAGCAACTTAAACTCTGTCTCTGATAAAACTAATAAAAAAGGCTGGGGATGTAGTTTAGTTCAGTGTGAAGGCCCTAGGTTCAATCTGTGCCACACATAAAAAGTAGTATGTCAGGCTGGGGTTGTAGCTCACTGGTATGGTGCTTGCCTTGCACACAGAAGGCCCCAGGTTCAATCCCCAGCACTGCAAAAAAGGAAGGGAAAAAAAATCACCAGGGTGAGGCAAGAGGATGGCAAGTTCAAGGCTATCCTGGGTAACTTAATAAGACCCTATCTCAAAAGAAAGGAAAAAGGGCTGGTCATGGAGCTCAGTGCTCCCTGGTTTCAATCCCCTGTGCTGCAATTAAAAAATAAAAAGGTAAAATATCAGGGATTCCACCCTGAGGAGTTCACCCTTTCTCTTACCTAAAAGTGTAGTCACAGAACCATATAAAGTTATTCGATGTGTCCAAATGCAAGAGTTATTTTTGGAAAGAAATAGCACTTCCGGCTGTAACTGAAAATCCTGACCTTTTTTTTTCAGTGCTGAGGGTCTAACCCAGGGCCTCATGTGTACTAGGCAAGTAAGAGGCCTTATAGAATTGTTTGGTTTTAGCTGTAGAGATAAACATTTGTGGCTGCTTTCATGTGAAACTTGAGAAAAGTATGAACTGAATTGGTTTCAGAGATGTCTTTAGAGATCAGCTCTGTTTCAGAATGCTCCAGATGAATTTCAGACTTTTTAAAAATAGCTCATGGTGGGTGGAATGATTGTGTTTTGTGCAACTGACTGTGCTTTCTTTCACTTGTAGAAAGTACTAGATGAAGACAGTGCTGTGAGGGCCTTCCAAAACACCGCAGCAACCACACATGTACCGGTGTCACATTATCGGATTGTTAAGAGTGTGGATTCCAGTGAAGAAAGTTTTTCTGATTCAGATGATGATAGCTCTCTTTGGAAACCCAAGCGACAGAAATGTCTTAACCCCCCTCCCAAACCTGAGCCTTTTCAATTTGGCCAGAGCAGTCAGAAACCACCTGTTGTTGGAGGAAAGAAGGTTAACAACATTTGGGGTGCTGTGTTGCAAGAACAGAACCAAGATGCAGTGGCCACTGAACTGGGTATTTTGGGAATGGAGGGCAATATTGACAAAAGTAGACAATCGGAGACCTATAATTATTTGCTTGCTAAGAAACTCAAGAGGGAATCTGAAGAATTTACAAAAGAATTAGACAAAGAGTTAGATGACTATATGCATAGTGACAAAAAACCAGGGTCAAAGGAAGAAGAAAATGGTCAAGGTCATCTCAAACGGAAGCGACCTGTCAGAGACAGGCTTGGGGACAGACTGGAAATGAACTATAAAGGCAGGTATGAGATTACGGAAGAAGATTCTCAAGAAAAAGTGGCCGATGAAATTTCTTTTAGGTAAGTATTTAAATTTTACCTACAAATGAGCACCTGACCAATATCTTGTATTTACAGGGAATAAAATAGATGCCAAATACATTAATGGTGATTTTCCTTTTAGAGTTCTTTGTTTTTGTTTTTTGTCTTAAGGAATTAACTGGACTTATGTGGTTATATGAATACACTTGTATTTTCTTACATTGGAAAGGTCTGAAGATAATTTTGCATACTCATGAACTTTTAAGCAACTCTACATTTAGTGCCACAAAACTCCTTATATAAAACATTGGTTTTTAAAATTAATTTTATTGGAACACTTTTGATACATATCCTGATCACATTCATCATTGGGAATTTGTACCTGTACATAATCTTATCTTGATTCTTCTTTTTTTCCCATTCCCCCTGCCTCCCTTCAGCCCTTCTCCTAATTTACAAAAGCTTTGCTTTCATTTTTTTCCTTCCATTCTCTTTTTACTTTTCCTTTTGCCTTCCTTCCCTTTCCTTTGCTTCCTCCCTTCTTCCCATTTGAACATTTTTTTCCTACTTCCCAATAAGTACTATCCATTTTGATCCTTATTTATGCTTTCAGTTTCTCACACAAGAGAAGGAATGTGATATTTAAATGTGTGTCTGATTTATTTCACTTAAAAGGATGGTCTCAAGGTGCATCCATTTACCTAAAAGTGTCTTAAGTGTATCCTTTATGGCAGAGTAGTATTCCATTGTGTATAACCACGTTTTCTTTATCCATTCATTTGTTGATGGACATGTAGGCTCTTTCTAAGATTTAGCTATTACAAATTGTGCTGCTGTAAACATGGATGTGCATATATTACTGTGGTATGATGCCTTTAACTCTTTTGGGAAGATAGCAAGAAAGGAAAGAGCTAGGTCAAGTGGAACCTCTAGTTTTAGTTTTTTGAGGAATCTCCATACTGATATACATATTGGTGTACCAATTTACACTCCCACTAACAGTGGAGAATGGTTTCTTTTTCCCCACAGCCTCGCCAGCATTTGTTATTGGTTGATTTCTTGATAGCTACTCTTTATGGAGGGCAAACATCATTTTAAGACATTTTTTTGAATGTTTTCAAGCATTTGTAACTTACAAATAACTTTATTGAGGTATATTTTATGTGGGATAATATTCACCTGTTTTCAAGTGTTGATATTTTTGTACTAAATTTATCAAGTTATACAACCATCAACATCACTTTTAAAACCTTTCCATCACCCAGTGAGATCTCGGGTCCATTTATCGACTTATGGTGAATCCCTGTTCTCATCCTTAGACAACTACTAATGTCCTTTCCCTCTGTACAGATTTGCATTTTCTGGACAAGTGAAAACCATACAATATGTGGTCTTGTGCCTGCTTCTTTCACTTGTGAAGTGTTTTTGAGATTGAACGTTGTAGCAGTAATTAATACTTGATTCCTTTGTAGTGTGAGTATAGATATGTATATAAAGTGTGATTGAAAAAAATGGTGAATGTTTAAACTTTAAAGGAATGTATTACAGTAAAAGACACATTGCCGTTAATCCCCCTGAAAATAGTCTCCCTTGGTTCAAACACACTTTTTCCATTGATCTTACCACTTTCTGAAGCAGTTCCAGAAGTCCTCTTTTATGTCTTTAGTTGCACTGGTGTGGCTGCCTTGAGTGTATTAAATCAATTCAAAATGTTTACCTTTCATTGCCATTTTGACTTTGGAGGATATTCAGAAGCTGCACAGAGCCAGAGCTGGTGAATTAGGTGGGTGAGGACACACCATAATGTTTTTACAAGAGCCTGCCTTTCCATTGGCTGGCACTTGGCATTCACCATGTTTTTTAATCACATCTCTTAAAGACACTCAGGCAAGAGGATTTGCAGAACTGCTTCAGAAAGTGGCAAGAATGATGAGACAACTGGTTGAAACAAGGGGAATTACTCTAAGAGAAATTGATGGCAATATGGCTTTTGTTTTAATATAAATTTTTAAAAATGTAAACTATTTTTTTGATCATTTCTTGCATATATAACATCCATGGTGAATGTTATTTCACTTTTTGGCTATTATGAATACTGTTATTATGAACTTTTGCATGCACATCTGTGAACATAGGTTTCATTTCTTTTGAGTAAATACCTACCTGGAAGTGAAATTGCTTGGTAGATGGTAAATTTACAGTTCATTTCTTTTTTCACAAGTTCAAGTTTTGATTAACTTTTCTTTAACTCTAAGTCACTTGTTACAGGTTGAAAACAAGCTAGGCATAGTGGTGCACACCTGTAATCCTAGCACTTGAAAGGCTGAGGCAGGAGGACCACCACAAGTTTGAGGCCAGACTGGAATACATAGTGAGACCTTGTCTCAAGAAACAAAAAATACAAAACAACAAAAAACAGGTTGAAAACAAATGTGGTTCAAGAGTAAAATGTCAGGTATTTCCAGCCAAGTCTCTCAGTACATGCTAGTACTGGATTATATGTACTATTATATGTGCTGCTGTAGTGAGCACATTACTGGATTTTTTTTTTTTTGTACCGGAGATCGAACTCGGGTCCTTGCATTTGCACAGCAGGCGGCGAAACCACTGAGCTAAACCCCCGGCCCTGTGTTTTTTTAAATACTGAGAACATTTGGAATTTGAATTCTGAAAAGAAACTTAGGAGTTTGTAAATGAAAGCTTTCACTTACAGATTAGACTACTGAAGCCAGTAGTTATGTGGCTTGCCCAACATCACAAATTTTATTGTCAAACCTGCAGCTGGTGCCTTTGTTCATAGTTCAGCTCTTTCCATGATAACATACTGCCTCAAGTTGAGAAGACAAAAGATCCTGGGTCTGATTGGGGAACTGGTAAGGGTTCTACAATACTACTTTTCCTTCATTTCTGGAGAGTATGGGCTCTGACCCATTCAAGAGTTACTTAAGCTTCCTGTATTTTGACTCAGGACACTGAAAGAATTGACAGCATGCATAAGATTCCTAGGATTGTGCATATTGTAACTAATGAGTCATCAGTAAATATTAGGTATTTCTATTTCTGTGCTGAGTTGTTGAGCCTGTGAGAGAAGTCCATTTTAAAGCTTCCAGACATCTGTGGAATTAGGAAAGCTTAACTTGTAGGAATAATCATTGAAAGCATAATGTTTGTTATTTGTTTGGACACATAATTGAAAGCATAGTATATGTTGCTTGTTTTGACAGTAGTGGTCTGATTTTGTCTTTTTTACATTTAGGCTTGCATTAACCTTGCTAAACATACACATTTATTTTTAAATCTACCATAATCTAGAAAGGGAAATGAAGAGGCCAAGTATGAGAATAGAGATGGAACCTTAAGGTTAATATCTCCTTGCATGACTAAAGATTAGGATGTTTCCATGTCAGTGATTCTGGAGTTAATTATTGAAGATTTAGAAAAGCAAACATTACAGTAGGATTTGATACTAGTTGAGAAAACTGGAGAATAATATAACAATAAATGAGGTTAATTTTGTTTCATTTCTTTCTTATCAGGTTACAGGAACCAAAGAAAGATCTGATAGCCCGAGTAGTGAGGATAATTGGGAACAAAAAGGCCATTGAACTTCTGATGGAAACTGCTGAAGTTGAGCAAAATGGCGGTCTTTTTATAATGGTAAGGCTGTTTCACTAGTTTGTTTTTGTATTATTTGTCATGTGATTGTTTTGTTTTGTTTTGTTAAAATGAACTTGCCTCTGCTGGACCTCTTACTTGTAATTATTACCATGTGTTTCAGGTTTTTAGAAAACTACATGAACAATGAAGACTAAATCTAAAAGTTCAGTAGTACATTCCCTCCACCCCCAGTACTGAGGCGTGAACCCAGGGCCTTCACACTAGGCTATATCTAGTGCTTTTTGTTTTCTTACTTTGAGACAGGATCTTGCTAAGTTACTCAGGCTGGCCTCCAACTACAGTTCTCCTGCCTCAGCCTCCTGAATAACTGGAATTACAGTCTTGCACCACCGTGCCTGACAGTACTTTTTTGCAATTGATAGTTTCCATATTTTAAAAAACAGATAAATTGTAGCTTGTTAGTGTGCTGTCAACAGCATCTCTCTTATATGATTCATCAAAATTTATCAAAAAATTTAAAACTAAAACCATAGAAGCTCAGATTTTAAGAGTATAGGTTTTGGAGCTCAATTTACTGAGTGACATTTATTAAAATAATTTGACTCGAGTCTAGTTTACTTAACTATAAAATGAAAATTAATTCTGTGTTATGCAGATGAGATGAGACAATATGCAGGGAGTATTTAGCAGCCTGGCATAGTGGCACACTCTGGAGGCTGAGGCATGAGGATTGCAAGTTCATATCTAGCCTGAGTAACTTAGTGATTTAGTGGGACCCTATCTAAATAAGAGAGGGCTGGGGATATAGGTCGGAACCTTGGTTCCAAAAAAAAATGGTGCTTAAGCTGAGTGTGGTGGTGCCTACTTGTAATCTCAGCACTGGGGAGGCTGAGGCAGGAGGTTCACTGTTTGCTCAAGGCCAGACTGGACTACATAGTGAGTTCAAGGCCAGCCTGAACTAGCAAGACCCTGTCTCAAAGAAAAAAGTGCTTACCACAGTGCCTAGTACTTAGTTTCAGTGAACAGAACTGTTAATTTTGGGTTCATTTAATTCATGTGTTATTGAAAAAAGGGATTATAGCATCCATCAGGAAATGCATTGGTTACCTCAACGTAAGATACACATTTTGTTCAAGCTGCTATAGACTGTGGTAAGGGGAAAGTGTATTAAGAGGCTGATGCACTGAGGGGAGAAAGAGTGGTGGGTTGGACTACAGGGCAGCAGTGGGGAGAGGAAGTAGTAACCGACAGATTTCCTGATGGATCAGTTGTGTGAGGCCCTGAGTTCCATCCCCAACACTGCAGAGAAAGGCAGGGTGGGGATTAAGATATTATAATTTTTGTTGTGTGTTTATTACCACAAAAATACAAACAGTAAAGCAACATGTAGTAAAAAGCAGTCCTCCCACTCCTATCTTCCAGCTGCTCAGGCTATTCTCACACACTGTTTTATATAAAAAGTAATATAAGGCCGGGGCTTTAGCCTAGTGGTTCTGCCGCCTGCCTCGAAAGCGCAAGGTCCCAAGTGTGATCCCTGGTACCAAAAAAAAAAAAAGGTAATATATTTACATTATCCAGTACCTTGCTTGTTTTTCACTTCATATATCTTAGCAATCTCATATCAGGATATAAAGAAAACCCATGTATTCTTTTTTACTGTTGGCAATATGAAAGTACCATAATTTATTATTTCATCTATATGTTTTTACACACATACAGACTCATTTGTTCATTTTACATTTGCAAATTGGCCCCTTTGCTAAAATTTATTAATAGCCTCAATCAGTACTAGTTGTGCTTTCTTATTCACAGACATGCAGAGTGACAAAGAACCTAAGTTGTCCAGTATGCACATTCCCAGATGAAGTTGAACAAAGCAGCACTCTGCCATGTTTCAATTCTCATTGTGTAAACAAGTATCCTTTTCAAAGTCCTTATTAGTGCCATGCTTTTCACATTTTTGTACTTTATTTTTCTGGTGATTAGCTGTTTAAAATGGTCCCCCAGTGGTTGAGCTGACTTGCTGACTAGTATTTCTAAATATAAGAAGACTGTGATGTGCTTTAGGGAGAAAATGAGTGTTAGATAATCTCCATTTAAGCATGATAACTTCTGTTTGCAATGAGTTCAGTGTTAATGAGTCTACCTATCTGTATCTGTATATTCACAGTTATACTTTGGGCATTGAGTCTAGGGCCTCATGGCTGAGTGTGAACTCTACCACTGAGCTATAGCTTTAGCCCCAACAAGTATATTTTAAATAAGATGTCTTTGTTTTGAATCCATTTTTGGTTTGTTTTTTGATTTTTACAATGCTGGGGATTAAACTTACGGGCATTAACCACTAAGTTACATCCCCAGCCCTTATTTTAGTTTTTACTTTGAGGCAAGCTCTCCCTAAATTGTCCACGCTGCCCTTGAACTTGAAATCCTCCTGCTTCAGTGTCTGCTCTAGCTGGGATTACAAGCATGTCCTTCAGTGCCTGACTTTTTTTTGGTACTAGGAACCATGCCTGACTTTTAAAGTGTCTTTAAATAGAAATTCATATATGACAATGTTACATATTAATCTGTTAATAGGTTATAACCAGAGGCCCACAGAAACCTAACCCCATATGTACCCTAGAGCAGTGTTCAGTGAAATAACTATCAGGAATAGTGAGAACAGACTGTATGTGCATATATCCTATGATCTTTGATTCATTTAGACTGTATCGTGGTACAGGTCATGAGGTACGGCTCTTACTCAGTTATTTCCCCAGGTGGCTCAGTTGCTCCCTGCAACAATTATTGAATAGTCCATTTAATCTTCTTTGGTTTAAGCTACTCTGCTATATCATAGACTAAATTCTTCTGTAAATTTGTCTTTATTTTGGGTTTTCTGTGCTGTTGCACTGATCATTCAAGTTTTATTACAACTGTTTTAATTTTTGAGGCTTTATGGTATATTTTAATATCTAATAGAAGACCAGTGTGGTGGTACACACCTGTAGTTCCAGCACTTAGGAGGCTGAGGTAGAAGGATTGCTGTGAGTTCAAAGCCACCCTGGAATGTGTAATGAGACCTCCCCCCCCCCCAAAGACACACACACACACAACTAATAGAATATTTACTGATTTGACCAGATGGCAGATCAAAATCAGAAAATTTACGTTTTCTTCCATCTTCGTAATGTGTCTCTCCTGAAATAGGCCTTGATCGTTTATGCGAAGAGTCTGTGTGGTTTGGGGCCTGAGGATGTAGTTGTGGTTAGCACTTGTCTAGTGCGTAAGAGGCCCTGGTTCCATCCCCAGTGCTGCCAAAAAAAAAAAAGCAAAGTTGGTGTAGTTAATTTTTCTATTCCTTTTTACAGAATGGTAGTCGAAGAAGAACACCAGGTGGAGTTTTTCTGAATCTCTTGAAAAACACTCCTAGTATCAGTGAAGAACAAATTAAGGTAATGACACTATCCTTGGCTTTTAAGATCCCTTATAATTTGACTTTCACAAAGCTCCTAGTTCCATTTGATCATTGTCCTACTTCCTGTTTGTTTGTTTAATTGTTTTTTTGAGACAGCATCTTGCTATGTATTTCAGGCTGGCCTTGAACCCACTGTGTAACCTACGCTGGCCTCAGACTTGTGGCAATCCTCCTGACTCAGACCCTGGAGTGCTGGGATTATAAGTGGGTGCCACTTTCTTAGCAAATAGTTTTTCTATCGTCCTAAAACTTTTTTTATTAATGAAAGATTTCAAATATAGAGAATACATTAAAGAATGCATATATTCTCCACCTAGGTTTGGTGATGGTTAATATTTTGACATTACCTGTACATTTTTTCTTCCACTTGAAAATAAATACCAAATATCATGGTGCTCAAGTTATTTCAGCAGGCATCTCACAGTGGTATAGACAGTGCTCTACCAAGCCATAAGACCTACTTCATTTATCAGAGAAATAACTTCATTGTATCATTCACCATTTAGACCTTACTCCAGTCTTGAATTGTCCTAAGAATTTATTTTATTCTCTTCCACCATAACCAGGTTCCAGTCGAAGTTTCCGTATTTCATTTATTACATTTTGTTTATTTTTTTTAACCATACACTTTTCCTCATATAGACCTTTTGAAGAGTTCAAAGTCGTTCTACAGAATGGTAGCTTATCCTGTTTTTTTTCTGGTGTTGCCTGTTGATGGCTTTGATCCATTCTTTCCTCCATCTTTGGTATTTCTTATAAACCAGAGTGTATTTATAATCATTTTTTGTGTTACTGGGACAGTATTACATTAAGTATTGTTCTGTAGAGGATTTTTCACAACTCAAAATTTGGTATCTTTTAATTTGTTAATTAGGGAACATGATTTGCATTATGATTAAGGTTGAAAATTAGCCTATTACCTAGCAAAGATAGTGCACACCTGGCACAGCTGCTGTACTTGATAAGCTCTATATTCTCTCTGTCAGTGGCCGATAAAAGTGAGGAATGAGACAAGTATGCCGGTGTATGCCTTGAATCCTAGCACTCAGGAGGCTGAGGCAGGAGGATTATGAGTTTTGAGGCCAGCCTGAGCTTTACAGTGATTTCAAAACCAGCTTGGACTAGGTGGTGAGACCCTGTATTAAGAAAAAAGTGATCGGAATATGTGTTTCAGCCATACTCATACAGTGCTCACCATTATCTTGAACTCAGGCTCCATATTGAGAGTATTTTGTGTCTGCTCAGTGTCGAGTTTTTTTGGGTTTTTTCCCCCTTAAATTTTCAAATTCTTCACTTCTAGTCATTTTTTTTAAATATGGAAATTTCTACAGGAAATACTGTTATTGCATATCTGAAATCTGTAGTCCATAACTGCTTTTTTCCCTCATGGGAACAGTTAAACGTGATTTGTAACATGACACATACATTTCCTGATGGTGTATCTGTTGAATGATAGAGATTATACTTTAGTGTTCTTTCACATCCCTCCCCCAGTACCCTCGACAAACAGTGATATCTAGAAATTTTGTTTTTAAAATAACCTTAATTTCCAAAGACAGGAAAGAAGAAAATAGCATTTGTTGGCACTGGGTCGTACATTTATATTGCATGACTTATTCTTTATCAGTGGGTGTTATCCTGTTAGGCAGATGAAAAGTAGTTGAAATGGTATGTTTAGGGTCACTCAGCACTCTTAACTCAAAACTCATGTTGTTTTTGCTGTATCACATGTCTTTGAAATTCATTTATTCCAGCTTATTGTGGGAAAGAGGAGTTTAGTGTTAGTTCTTATGTTAAACTTCATATTACGATAATAAAATGAACATTGGTAAATCTCATAATAAGAGAATGTTGTTTATAGAGACATTCTTATGAGCACTAGTCTGTAACCTGTGTTTTTGTGAATCAGTTTTTAGAAAACAAAATGCCAAGCAAGGTGGCTCATATCCCATAACCCCAACAGGCAAGAGGACGCCATGAGTTTTGAGACCAGCCTGGGCCATAGAGTGGGTACAAGGCCAGCCTGGACTACATACCAAGACTGTCACCAAAAAAAGAGAAAGAAAATGAGAAAAGTGCAATAAAACTGAAATTAGGGGTTTGGGGCTATAGCTCAGTGTAGAACATGTTACTTAGTATGCATAAGAATCTGTGTTCAGTCCACAGCTAAGGAAGGAAGGGATGGAGGAAAATGTTTTAAGACTAAGTACAAAATTATAAATTAAAAAGAAGCATGGGACAATAGACTGAAAAGTAAACCCCAAAACGTTACCAGTGATTTGGTGTGTTGTGAGGAATTATAAAATGCTTTGGCTTTCTTTTATTTTTATTTGTTTTAGGGGGAGTTTGTGTGGTTTTCTTTTGATTTTGGTTTTTGGAGGCTTTTTTTGTTCATTTAGCTTTTTTATTTTTATTTTTTGAGACAGGGTCTCACTATGCAGTCCAGCGTGACCTTAAACTTACACTATAGCCCAGACTGGTCTTAAAGTCATGACCCTTAGTCCTTTGAGTATTGGGATTATAGGCGTTCACCACCATAATGCTTTGGCTTTTTAACATGTTGATGACAGGGCTATAATTCATATGTTTCTCTGCCCAGTAGCTTGAACCATTAGTGGTACATGGCATGACCAACCCATTAGGTTATTAATAAAGAGACCAATAAAGAACACCCAGAAGGAAGCTCCCCCACTGCCATTCCACGCTCCTAGGGCAGAGAAGGTGAGCCAGTCCAAGCACCTAGAAGGAAGCTCCCCCGCAGCCATTCCATGCTCCTAGGGCAGAGGAGGTGAGCCAGTCCCAGCACCTGGAAGGAACCTTCCTCACCACCATTCCATGCTCCTAGGGCAGAGAAGGTGAGCTGCATGGGCACCAGAAGCACCCCCACCCCCACCCCGTGGAAAGGAGAAGACACGTAAACAAGCCTCAAAAACAGACTTCTGGATCACCTACAGCAACCCCAAAGGGAAACCAGCTGGAACAATCTGATGCTCAACCACCTGGACTCTCTGAACTGGCAAAAAAAGAGGATCTGGGAAAAATGAAATCAGAAATAATTACTCAGATAACAGCAAAGATTGTG